TAAACCTGAAGGTGACACACCCTTCCACAGCAGCCTAAACATTAAAGCAACACACCACAAAGACAGAGGTGTTTTAACTATCCGTGCCACGTTTGACGTCGTCAAAACTGTTAACTTTTTATCCAAGTAAACACAAGGTCAAAGAAAGATCACACTATACACTGGTCCCTCGCTATAACTCGGTTCACCTTTCACAGCCTTGCTGTTTCGCAGAATTTTTTTTTGTGTGTGCAATTTTGCATGTTTTTTTTTTGTAAAAACAGCACGTTGTGTTCTGCGTCCTGATTGGCTGTAGACCATTGTCAATCAATCCTGTGCCGTGTCTCCTGTACAGCACAGAATGCATTCAGCTTGTCACATTTACATAAATCTTCAATCGCTAGCAGTGTGACTCTGAAGTGCTGTACTGTATGTTTGTAAGTTTTCTCCCCAACAAACACAAAAATGTCCACAAAACATTTTGCACCATCAAAGGCGCCTGCGGTAGCACCCAAAAGGCAGACGAAGATGCTAACCATGGCACAAAAATTTGGACTTCTGGACATGCTAAAGGAAGGTAAAGTTACCGTATTTTTCACACCATAAGGAGCACCGGATTATAAGGCGCATTAAGCGAATCAAATCCGTCAGATAAGTCAAACTTTACTCAACTCATTCTTCTTTCTTCCTCTACTTCCGTACCATTAATTCATTAATGTTGAATTCTCTCACAGCTGCTGTATTCCCATGTTTTGGACCTGAAAACAAGGTTTGATCTTTGGTTTCATTCTATAATACTGGACTTATTTTTCTACAAAGGTTTGAACTTTGAGAATGTTTAAACAAGAGAGAAAAGTGTGAAAATGTTCATGCCTGTCTGAGAAAAGTGTATAAAGTGTGTAGTGAGGGGTTTTAAAGCCTTAAAACATCTATAATATTTGTAAAAAATAAACTGGCTACTTCGCAGATTTCACCTATCGCAGGTTATTTTTAGAACGTAACTCCCATGATAAACACATTTAATATTCAAGCAAAGTGTTTGTGTCCATGTCTTTATCGTAGATTAAGTTGTGCAGGGGCAACTGGCACAAAGGGAGTGTAAAGGGTGATCAGGTGTTATGTCATATAAACATATTAGTGTTACTGTATACTAGGTTTAAATATTAAACTTTAAGATTACACTTCTAGTTGTTATGCTGCACTAAATGGAAAATTCTGCATGTCACATTTGCGCAATTTCTGCGAGTAAGCATGAGAAGAAGGAAGAGTAGCATAAAAGGGTTTCACTTATTGATACAAATTACTTAGCTTTTTTAAATGGGGTTTAATTTGTTTATAAAATACAATTTTGTATATAAAATAGCCAGAAATAATAGGGAAAAGCACAGCTTTCTCTCAAGTGAAAGCCTATTTTGAACATTCAAATTCTCTCCTCTCTGTAGATACAATTGGTGAGAAGGAAACAAATAAGTTTATTGCCCCAATCCAGATATCATGTGAAACAACACATGAAACAGCTTGAGAGCATAGCATTTGAATGCATTCTTTTTTTTTTCCACTTCTTCACTTGTTTGAGCAGTTATATATAGTTAATAGTAACTTTAATAGTAATAGTAAGTTTAATTATTATTATTATTATGACGGTAAGGAGGACAGGACGTCAGAAAAAAGCAGAGTGCAATCCAGTAAATATTCAAAATAAATGACCCCAGTTTCTAACAATGCAATGATTAGAACAAAACTGAGTGGGAGACGTGGCATTAAAGACATGAACAGGGTGTTTTCCTGGTTTTAAATAGAAGTTTAATTTTGGTAAAGTAATCTGTTTCACGTGCTTTTCCTTATGTGAATAAAATGTGTCATTACAAAGTTTACAGGTCATGTACAGCTACGCTACGGCTTGAATACATTTTCATCATGAACCCTTCTCAAACTGGAAAAAAAACATGTATTCAATGTGTTATCATTGACCTTCTATAGATCATAAATCACACTGTGACATTAACACAGGCTGGTCTTTTCCTGTTAAGCCTCGTGTTGTAGGCTTGTTTGGCTGAGCTGGAGAAGGATCATTAAAGTAAAGCATTTATTTAAGATTTGACACTGAACCACAGTTTCCATTGCACATTGTCTGGAAATACCTTAATGTCATAAAAAAGCTATTTATAAACTTTCTGTTACTATTGTTTTTTGATTTTTGATTTTAAAGGAGCCTCTGTTTTTCAGGGAGACATTCCTGAGCATCTGTCACTGCCAGACTGAAATAGTACTAATGGCTGTTAAGGGTTTCTGTAAAAAGCAATGGAATGACTATTGGCTAAGGTAAACACAGCAGCCTGTGAAACTTTGGTGCCACATATCCTAATCACGACCAGTAGGTTTTATCACTCTGTATGGACTAAAGTCCTGGTACTGTTTCAACCAGTTTTCTACAGCATAAAAACAAGTGTGTGCTTTACTGAAAGTTTCTTGCTTTTAAAATAAAAAAATTAAGTAAGCTTCTTTTAAGCATCTGTTCTTAATTAAATGGTGACAAAAATCTAACATTTTAGAAAAAAAAATGTTGGCTACTGTACTTTTCAAGCAGCCAGTAAGACAGAAACTGTTTTTCTGAATATAGTAAAATCAATACAAGACACACTGAGGGTGATATACTGACTGAGTGATGAGGAACGTGTACCATAAAGAAACAGACACTTTTGCAGGGAGATCAATGAGGTTATTAAATTATTTAAAAATATGGCCTACTTTACAGCAAAACATTGCCTGAATATAGTCAGTTTGACATGGAATTTTACAAGAGAGACAGCTATTATCAAAAGACTGTCTATGACTTATGCATGGCGCAGAAGTGCAGGTCCAAACATCAAATTACAAATACAAAAATGGGGACCAATTACATAAAGTAGGAGACAAACCAATGAATTGTCGAAGCAATCAAAAGTGCAATAGTGTACTGTATGTGGGTGGCAGGTCTGCAAAGGCATGCATGACAGCAAACGGCATCGGTTCTGTTTCTAAGCAACGCTCACATCCACAGCTCTCTCTTTCCTCTCTCATGCCACCTACGACTGGCTATTTTAGTGAGGATGGGCATTTCACTGTAAAAGCATCTCAAACAATTCACAACTGCTACTGATATAACAGGGGCTTAGACAGGAAAACACCTGGCAAAGGTGACACAGACACCATCCATTACACGCACTGTGAAGGAGCTGTTTGACCTTGGAGCCCAGTGCTGGACTCCACATTTTCAAGAACAATGGACACTATTGTACTCCTCCCACATAACTGAATGAATTTGCAATAATTTACTGATATTCGGCAGTAGAGACATAACAGAGAAAACTGGGTCATTTTTGTGAGAAATCAGCACGTGCTAAGACCAGCCCACATGGTGGTGTGACACTTTAAAGGTTTACCCAAAATCACTTAGGTATTTTGGAGTTTTCGTCAGTTATTTATCAGAAAACAAAGCAAAAATCCAGGGTACCAATGCTTCTTTCTGTTACTTTCTATCACAGATGCTAATTCGGTGCAGGCTTGCTACTGAAACTATGATGTATGCTCAATGTTGCTTGCAGGAAAAAAAAATTAGCTGAATAATTGTGATTTAGGGTTTAGGTTGTGACATCTGGAGTAGGTGTAAAAAGTATTTCCATTCTGACAAACCTTTCAGCTGTGTACCTAAAAAGTTATGAAGGCTCAAAATGCTTGAAAAAAATAACTCAAATTAAAAAGCACCTGACTTTGGGAACCATTAACTGAGAAAATATTCATAATAACAACCATTTATTTTTAATGGTTTCATTAAATATTCTGATGTTATTGTACAAAAACAGAAAATGTATTCCAAGGGGGGGACCTTATCTATGATTTGATTGATTTTATATGCAATGACGCAGCTTTAAAAAATGGAATCAAACATTAGGAATAAATTGCTGATATTGTTTTGTTGTTCCCAGAATAATTTTAAGTGCACATTTTATTGTTTTCCTTGATGTTTTACGTGTGAATCTCGAGGGGGGTTTCATTTTCTCCCCACACATATAGCCCACTACACAATAATCCCGAGTCGTGTTATGCCTTGCAGCTCATGTTGTGGGTATAATTGAATAAAAGGGTGCATGTACTTCACCTAATTCCTCCTCTGCAGATCAGTCTCTCTCCCTCTCTCTCAGCAGAGCATGCCATTAAATCAGAGCTCACCATCCTGCCCCACCACACACTTGATCACATGGAAACTGTTTACATAAACCAAGCGTCTCATTTAGATACCATTCCTCACTACAGCTGCCAACGTCTCCACTTCTGACACACCCTCCATCGCCTTAAATCCAGTAAACTCTGCAGACCTTTCCTGTCTTGCCGTTTGGCCCTGTGTCATTAGGGTCACTGTGACAAAAGATGAGTCAGACGCTGTGGAGACGCCTAACTTCCTGTGAATGTGGAGTATCTCAGACTGTGACTGAACAAATGACTGAACTACCTTGGAGCAATTCCTCCCAAAAGAATGATTCATCGTCAGCAGGATCAAATTCTCATTTGGAGCAATGCAGAGTCAGACGTATCTGTGGTTTTTGTAGGATTCATTTAAAAAGTTTCCAAAGTGACTCAAAGAGAAAAGCATATAGCTTCTACGTTGTCAAGCAGGGTAAAAAAAAGCAAAAAGCTACCACAATAAATAGTTCTGCATCCTTTTTTGGGCCCTTAAAATCCCATGACATGCCAAGCGAAATCAAGTATGTTTATAAAGAGCTCCAAAATGGATTACACGGGCATCATGATTTGTTTTAGTTCTCTAAACCCATTTATTTTTCCTACAGCAAATATCAAAATATCAACAAGCCACAGGCTTCTGCTGCTGAGTCCAAAAACTGAGGAATTCTGCCAAAAATCATTGCCGACTGTTCAAGACATACATGCACAGACAGTGACTCATCCATGCAGACATGCACATGTGCACACACGGTTGCATGTACACAACATACACAGCCAGAAACACATGTTAAATTACTTACATCAGTTTTTCTAAACTTGGCTTTGAGGCTCTTCATGTTCAGTCCGACCCATGCAGTCGCTCACTCAATCGCTCAGTCGAGACTGCGAAGAAGAAGGGAGGGAAAAAAAGCCACACAGATGTTTAAACTTAGCCTCTGTGATGTTAGTTCTCATTTTAAATGTGACTCCGTGTTTCTGAAGACTTGATTTTTGGGCTTTTTGTAACATTATATTCGCATAGGTTAGCCTTGGTGAGCTGTAAACACAGAGCACAGAAGCAGAGACAAACAGTAGTCTGTAAAAACTAAAGAGCAGTGTTTGCTAAAGCCTCATCAATGAGTTGTAGTGTACCGCTAAGGGACAAAAAGAGTCCTACATTTGTTATATGTCAGAAGCACTTTTTCATTAATTTCTCCTCTTTTATAGTACCACATGCAATTCTCTTTTAAACCTGTTGCTGATTACGATGCCTCGCTTTCTATCGTTTCCTACAAGGATGTTATAAATCACAGCAGAACCCTTGGGGATGTCTGGCGACTGTATTTTTGCAGCCTGACTGCCTCAAGTAATTTTCAGTTCCTCAAGCCTGAAATGACCTTGTCAGTGATTTAACCCCCAAATATCCTTTGGCACATTCCTGCCGAAATTGGGCAACTAACTTACTTCATTATTTCCAAGGTCTGCTTGTATTACAACTCATTGCACAGTGTAAGCAATTTGAGATTCTTTGCAAACATTACTGGGAGTCTGGGGTGCAGGAATAAACATCTTTTAAATGTGTAGAAAGCACAGAAGCATAAGTTAGAAAGAGTTAATCCGATTTTAAGTCTTATTAGAGAAGTGGGAGGGTGCAAAATAACTCCTGCAATATCTAGCCAACATTCAAGCTATTTGCCAACCGCATTCATAAGGCAACCTTGATCCTGCTTTGCGTACAATGAAACTGGCGTGTGCTGTTATAATTTCTCTGCAGAAAGCACGGGAGTAGAATAAAAATGAATTGTCCAGGATGTCCCGCTGAAAAGCAAACTTCACTACTGACTGCTGTCAACAAGCATCTCTGACCCGAGCGTCTCAAGCAACGAACCTTTGCATATTTGCCTCACTGCACATCACACAGCCACATTTCTTTTTTCTTCTTCTTCTTTTTTTTTGTACACGGATATTATGAATACGCGGAGAGACACGGTTAAAGCTTGGATATCAGATTGGACTTACACGAGAGCTGTGCTCCGTTTAAATTCACCAACGGGACTCACACAAAGTTCAACTCTTAAGCATCATTTCGACCTAAACTGCTTACATGATGTGAAATTACCGGACACACTTACCCCAGTCCTTGTGCCGAGAGTCGCGGGGAGCGCGAGACACATAAAAGAAGAGACAAGCGCTTTTTAAAAATAGCTAAAACCAGATTAGCCGCTGAACAAGTGTGAACACAGCGAATCTTTGTGGAGCTATGTCGACCAGGAGGGAGCATACGGAAGGAGAAACCGGCGCGACCCTTCACGGCGGCTCTCCTCGGCCCGCATTCATTAAAAGTTGAGCTGTTGGTCGACTCCTGCTCGTCTCTGGTTTGGGACTCAGCTCAACGGCCGCTGCCCGGTTTAGGAAAGTGACGTCACTCCCCTGGAGCTCTCGTGACCGCGGCGAGCGAGCCCTGTTCTGTTCTCTATTGTACCCCCCATTCATGTTGTGGTTAAAGGGGCATTTCCCACAAAACCCCACCGGAGGGGTGCACATTTGAGAACATTTGGACCCTCGCCCACAGGCGGTCACGCGTTTTCATGTATTAAACTTCTGCTTCAGCTATTAATTCAACTACATAATTATAATATTAATGCAAAAAAAATATGTCTCGAGCTTTTATATTACACTTGAAAAACACTTTAGGGTTGCAATTTATTTATTTGTTAAAACAAAATAAAATAAAATGTATTTTGAACAATTACAGCTTCCTTTGCCATCAGTGCCACAGGCAGGTATCGTGCGTAAGTGCTGTGCTTTTATCAGGTCAAAAATATGTTTTGGTTTTTTTTACATTTAAAATGGAGTAATTATATAAAACTATCAAATATATTATAAACATGACATAGCGTGTTTTTGCTTAAGCATTTATACAACATGTCTCATTTCTTCCATTCACACACATTCACTCTCTTCTACATCTATGTGCTTTCACATTCCAATGAATGCATCAGAGGCAAGTCAAGGTTAGGTATCTTGCCCAAGGACACTTTGGCATGCAGATTGGAGCACCCAGGGACTGAACCTCCAACCTTCTAACTACAGGTGACCACCTAAATCTCCTGAGCCACAGCGACAAATGTTTTATGTATGTATGTAAGTTAAATATTGTAAAATAATGGTCCCCTGGAGATGTGCCACTGATGCTACATTCTAAGAAAAGTCTATTATTTAGAAAGGACACATCACAGTGATGAAACCCTATAGAGCTTTCCTGAAACTCTAAAAGCATTGTTTATGGTAAGTCCAGTGTCTCTTTTCTTTTTCTTTTGTTTCTCTTTTTTTTGGAACATAGCTCAGGAAATTTACTCAAATGCTTTAAGGGGATGTGCTTTATTTAAGTAATCCTATGTAATTTTTCACTATATTTTAGATGCAAATGTTGTACTTTGAACTGATACCAATTATCTTTAAGCTTTAACTGCTAATAGTTTGCATATGTTAAAGCATCCATTCATTTTCATCCAATTGTCCAATTCGGGGTTGAACCGCAAAACAGATGAGCCTATCTCAGCTGTCTTGGTTTGAGAGATGGGGTACACCCTTGGTGGGTCTCCAGTCTATTGCAGGACTAGATCTACTAAAGGCTAAAACATTTTTTGGTCACTTAGGTTGGCCGACAAGCTTTATTTAAGGGAGCTATATACCTGATTTTCTAAACAGTTGCAAAAAACTTACTGAATGAAAATAATTTTGAAACTCTGTCATTTTCACTGTACAAGGAAAAAGGGCTGTGCACTAGCCAAAAATCCATACCCAGTGTTTGGTTTTTTTTACACCAATTATTGTACACTGATTAAATAGTCTAATTTCTTGTGGAAACCCTCTGTCTGGTGTGCCACTCCTTGTAAGAAAAAAAAAAGTCTACACAGTTGAATCTTACTCAGAAAAGAAAAACATTGATGTATGGATAAATCCTGAGTAAAACACAAAGATGATTACCAGACAGAAAAGCAACAGAAATAAAACTTTGATTGTATTTTATGTTGGATGGTGAAGATCAGCACAGCAAGACTTAATATATTATAACATTTCTACCCTAATATTATTCAGCCTCCACAAATCTGGACTCTGCACTTCAGTGCCCCAAAGATTGTGAATGGGTGTTTGCTTAAGTTGTGCACAGGGTGTCACCTGGTCTCCAGGCTGTAAATTCAGTGTGCATCATCTCTGAAGTTGAGAAATGCTGCTAGCTGAACAAGTCATGTTGATGTTATGGGTCTATGTTGCAACAGGACTGCGGTGAAACGTAATAATACAGGTGTGAACCTGTCTGAGCTGCAGGGTGTGACGTTCATGTCATTTGTTTAGATGTGATAATGTATGCTAGGATAGCTCACTGTGTCATATAGTAGCCATTCTTTCAAACGTTTTTTTTTTCTCCTAATTTTAGGGGTTTTGTGCTTGTAAACTATACATTTTTACTAAATTGTTGGGTTTTTGTTTTTTATATATAATAAACTAATATAAAGTGTGTTCTGATCTGCTTCTCAGATGAAAATGAGCAGCTTTTTCTTTTAAATGAAACGGTCTAATTTGGGAATTTCTGACCAGAGAAGAAAAAAAAAAACAGAGAAAACAAAGTGAGACAAAGACTGACACACGTTGTTACTCAGAGTTTAGTCTGGTTAGCCGAATGACAACCCCGGTATAAGGTCCACTATAATTCCAGGTTACAGGCAGCAAAGAGAACCAGAAATCTTAGTAAATGCTAAGACAGGGACATCTAGTGGAGAAGCTGTTTACTGCTATGCCACTTCCTAAAACGTAGAATATTTAATTCAAGTTGTGAGATATATTAGATGAGTATATGAGATAAGATCATTTTGAGTGGTAGCGTAGACTAAAGAAATCGCACATACATCTGTATTTGTTTAAAATAAATAAATAAATTAAATAATTAATTAAAAAGGCGCAATGCCAAGATTATCAATAAAATAATATCGTAACCTACATTATTAACATGCATTTTTATTTCACACTACTATTCACAAGAATAACTATGTGCTTGTTAAGTCTTGTTATCAGACTGTGATCAGTGTTGAATGTATAGTGTGACCACTGCAGGAAGGGAGGACCTAAGGGTGAAGCAGCCTGTTATTGAGGGAACTGATCACGTTAGCACGGAATTCATGATTCATGGGGTGGGAAGTGTTGTCCATCAGGAGAACATGAAAAATCCACACAGAAAGATTAAGATTGTTCAATTAATTTTAATATTAGACAAATGCATAAATTACAAATTGCAGTTTTTAACTCACGGTTTTATTTAGTAAGAAGAACATTTGAAACTACCTGACCCTATGTAAACTCACACAGAGACTCATACAAGCACTTTTTCTAGACCAGTGTTGGTCAAGTTACTTGAAAAAAGTAATCAGTAATTAATTACTGATTACTTCCCCAAAAAGTAATCCCGTTACTTTACTGATTACTTATTTTCAAAAGTAATTAATTACTTAGTTACTTAGTTACTTAGTTACTTTTTAAAAACATGATTTAC